TATAGAGGGGGGGGGGGGGGAAAAAAAAAAAGGGGGGAAAGGGCAATTTTTTTTGGAGAAGGCTTTTCCGCGGCCCAAAAAAACGCCCCCCCAAAAAAAAAAATTTTTACCCGGGGTTCGGGGGGTTTTTCAAAACCCCCCCAAACCGGTGCCGGCAGATTTTAAAGGGAAACCAACCCTTTTGTTTGAAAGAAAACCCGGCCGCCCAATTTGGAAAAAACAACCGGGCTTTTTTTGGCCCATTAGCTTTAGGGGCAAACCCCCCCCCCCCCTCGGGCGGTTTGTCAAGGGTTCCAACAATTAATTACCAAGATTCGGACCCGGATTCCCCCCCCCCCCCCCGGCCCTCCCCCCCTGTGCTTCAAGATGCTGAAAGCTACCGACCTGAACGGTGACAGAGGGCTCATGAGTCGCTCCGGGTCTCCCCTCCAGGGTGAGGACACCCGAGTCTCCTCCTCGAACGAATCGTTCGCTCCGCCGTTGCTGCTGTTGCCGAGCAGGCCGGGCTCGATCGTGAGAGCGCCGGTAGAGCCGGCGCTTTCCGAACCTTTTTCGAGCAGCAGTCCGGTGAACTCCTGGCGGCAAGGGGAGAGTGAGCTGGTCGAAGGTGCTCTCTCATCGTCATACCTTCGCGGTACGCACACGAGCACGGACGGGCCCAGCGAGCCGCGCGGGAGAGCAGCAGCAGGCAGGCAAAATAGAGACTATAAAGGTTAAGGGTCACGTTGCGTGAGGCGCAGAAGGAACAGGTACATATGCCAAGAACAAGCGAGAGCCCAATCGGACCAGACGCACTAGAGGGAACCACGACAAATGACAAGCGACACGGCTAACGAAATCACAGAGGCAGCCAGCCCCCAAAAAATTGACACCAAAGTCGATTGACTGCCCGCCAAACATCAAGACGCATTCCGAGGCAAAACAGCCTTCTGCACGATCGGTATCCTCCTCCAAATGAAAGGAAGCACTCGGACTTCGGCGTTGTGAGTGTCGCGTGACACAACAGCAGACCCACTGTAGCTCTCTCTCAGGTTCGCACCGGGAAGGGGTGAGCGGGCTGTCCATGGCGATGTGGTTCACCCCCCAGTGCAGCCGGGGCACAGGCGGCTCTTCCTCCTGAAGCTCCGACCCGACCGCGATCTTGAGGCGCTTGTGCAGACCTGGGATAATAACAACAGAAAAATTAAGAGTAAGTTCGCCGATTCCGCGTGCGACCGACAACTACGATTGTCCAGACAAGCGCCAAGGTTATCGCCGTGTCAGCCAGGGGGAGGTTTGGGAGCGTAGAGAGGGCAACACAGAGAGAGTGAGAATCAATAGGGTACAGTGGTGTCTTTCTGCCCGCCGGATAAAGTCCGATAAACAACAGCAAATACCACGCCACCACTCACCCCAAAACGTGTCCCGGCTGGGAAGTAAATATTGTTCAGATCGTTTGCACCACGCTGAAGAATTAAGATTAAGCACTACGCACATATGGGAAATGTGTCCAGCGACATCAACCGAATCTTATTCCAGTACACGCGGCTGCCCTTACCAGTCCGAACAGACTCTCCCGCCAGTTCCTTCGCCGCCAACGGCGCGTGTTCTTCCACCACAGCACCGCCGGCATCGACATCTCCTGCACCGTCCCCGCCCGCTTCCTTCGTGCCACGCACCCCCGGATCCTCATCCTCGCCCCCGCCGTCCTCCGAAGCCGCACCCTCCTCTTCGGCACTATCTTCCCTGGCCGCGTCTCCGACTGTACCCTCCCCGGCATCACCATCCTCCGACTGCAGTTCCGAGAGCACCTCGTCGCAACCAAGGAGCTCGTCGCACTCCTCCTCGTCCCCCCCGGCCAGGATGGCCACCCCGGCGGCCAAGTTGTCGAGGGTCTCGCGCACGGCAGCGTCGACGCCGCCGGTGGACTCGCCGCCCCTCCTCCTCCCGCATTCTTCCTCGTCCTCTCCACCCGAAGGGACATAACCGCCGCCATAGTCGTCATCGTCGTGGTCACTAGCCACTGGGGAAGCCAAAACTCGCCGTTCGTCGCCAGTAGCCGTCTCCCCCTCCACGTCAGACGGGCCTTCCTCTTCTCCGGCGCTAGCAGGGTCGAAAGAACCGCGTTCGGCGGCCAGCTGCGGGTCGGCGTCGCGAGCAGGACCGGCGGGGGCATCATCGTCGACACCCGCCAGTGAAGGAGGGTTCATTTCCGCATCGGGAGCATACCCGCTGTCGTCCAACGATGACCTCGCGCCACCCCCGGCCGCCTCAGCGACGTCGTCCCCGCTGTCGATAGAGATTGCCATCAGGGCCGTCTCGGCATCCAGGAGAATGCTCTGCTCGTCCATCCTCGCGATATCGTCCATCACAGCGCTGATCTCCGCCGCATCGTCTTTCTCCTTTGCACCACTGGTGCTGCCCTCATCGTCAGCGACAATGTGTACCGTTGCCGACAAGCCATCCTGCTCTTGCGGGTTCGGTTCTCCCTCCGAAGTAGCGCTGTCCGGTGCGATGGCGATGGCGAATTCGGGCGTAGGCGGGCACTCCGCAGCAGAGGCGGTACACGCTTGGCTCGAGCTCGGGCTGGTGTTGACGCCTTCGTCTTCCTCCTTAGCTCCTACCTCCTCCTCTTCTTGCTCCGGATCTTCGTCTTTCTCCATCACCCCAACCCCCTCCGCGAGATCTTCGCCTCCCTTAACCTTCGTGTCTACCTTCTCCTCCTCCTCTTCTTGCTCCGGATCTTGGTTTTCCTCTTCCTTCACTCCAACCTCCTCCTGTTCTTGCTTCAGATTTTCGTCTTTCTCCTTCACTCCAACCTCCTCTTCTTCTTGCTTCTCCTCCGTCAATCCAACCTCCTCCGCGGGATCTTCGTCTCCCTTGATCTCCTCCTTCTCCTCCTGCTCCGTATCGTCTTCCTCCTCGTCGTCCGAGAGAGTTCCAGCGCCAACGATCGCGCTCACAGCGGACAGGCGCTCGGCCTTCGCCTGAGTCTCCTGGGGACTAGCAAGGGAAACTTCCCTGGCTTCCTCGTAGTCGCTGCTTGCCATGGACACCCCGCTATCTTCACGGAAGCCACGGCTCACCAAGGACAGTCCCCTGGCTTCATGGAACTCGCTGCTTGCAAAGGACGCCCGAATGCCCCCTTCCTCCCCCTCGTTATCATCATCGTCGTCGCGACTGATCTCGAGAACCATCTTGCCCGCATCGCCGCCGCTCTCCCCCCACCCCGCGTCGAGCAACGCCTCCTTCCCTCCCATGTCAAACCCTTCCGCGGGGTTTCCATCGAACCTCTCCTCCGAGCCAGAGCAAGATATACCATCACCCTTGTTCTCTTCCCCGCCTCCAACAAATAGACGGGTGGGAAGCTGGAGACCCTCAGGGGCCGGTGGGGGCCCCGTGGCATCCCACGACACCTTGGCTGACAGCGCGGCGGCGGCGCTCCGGTCGGCCATTGCCGTCGGGGTCAGAGGAGACCGGCCGTTCGACCTCCTCCCAGGAGACAGGTTGAAGCGCCCGGGGGACTCATACCGCGGGTTGAGCGAGATGCGCACACCTGCTCGCCCGCTGTGAATTGTTTCACATTGGGGGGGGGGGGGGATGAGGGACAGGGTGTGCAGGTCAGTCATGTGTCTTGTTAAGGGTGGGCACTGACAAGACCTGGATGGCTGTGGCTAAAAAACAGTGGTGGTCGTGTTGCTCGGCGGAACACCTGTGTTCCATGCAATGTACATACACCCTGTCGCCCATGTCCACATCTCTCCGCAAGGACGGGAGATAAACTAAAATCCTCCGAACATAGCTGTTCAATCGCCCGCCACACGTCATCCACCTTGTTTCACCTTCACCGACTACACGCGGAATCGAAAATATCCCCCTGCCATCTCGCACCGACCTATCAAGTCGTCTCTCCCCTTCTTCAAGCCAAAACCATCACACAAGCTTACAATCTCTCCCAGCAACATCACCACACGACAAAGCCCGTTCTCGTCTCTTCTCTCACCCCCTTGGCGGAGATAGGCTCCGGCACGGAGACAGCGACATCCTCGATGACGAAACCGAGGCCCTCAAGCTATCCAGCGAGGGACCCCGGCTGTCAAACGCCTGGGACTGCGGCCTTCGGCCCCCGACCCCATCGCCCCCCTCTCCCTCCTGCCGCCACAGCTTCATGTTCAAAGCGAGTCCGCCCGTTACAGATCCCGCGGGGCTAAGGCTAAGCCCAGCGCCGGAAAATCCCCGGCTTCCGCCGTCTCCGAAGTCGTCCGCTTCGTCCTGCTCAAGCAGGCAATCGCCGTTGTCGCTCATGGGGGCGGGCGGCAGCGGAGAGGGCGGAGCGGCCTTGACGTCCGAGCCGCCGCCGCCACCGCTGTAAAAGAAGAAGGGCTTCGTCTTCGGAGCGCGGCACGTGTCGGGGGCGCGAGGGAGGTCGCTGGGGGTCCTGCGCGGTTCCGAGCCAGACCTTCTCCGTCGCCTGCACATGAGAGTTGCGGCGAGGGGGGGGTGGGGGTGGTCAGGTAAACGCATGACGTGGTCGTTAGACCATTGGCCTCGCATTTTTACCACGTGATCCCTACCACGTCGGAACTGAGCGATATGTCGGGTTTTCTAGGGGGGGGGGGGGGGCCTACCCTTATTTTTTGCATGCCTTAACGGTTAAAAATTAACCCCCAGGGGGGGGGGGGGGGGGGTTTTCTTCTG